GAACGAAAATCGGCCATGAAACGTGGCCGAGAATTCTGAGTACGAAAGTCTTGCGTCGCAACAACTTCGGCCTTCCCTTTTCCTTTGTCCTTAGGTAGGTATGCATCGACCATATTCACGGTTGCTGTGGGGAAAGGATCAGCATCAATACTCATCTTCTTCTCTGGAAATTTCAGTTTTCCATTATCAATCCAGCTCTGGACGTTGTCTCGAAATACGACACAATTGTTTGTCGTATGTTTACTTGAATTATGGTATTTGCAATACACCTTTCCTTTAAGCTCTTCGGCCTTGGGAATGTTGTGACCAGGCCGAAGTTTGATGATCCTTGCTGACAACAGTTGATCAAAAATTGCGTCAGCCTTTGTAATATCAAAAGTATACACTTTTGACGATTTCAATGTTCCTTCAGTGGCCGAGCGGCTTTTGACTTCCCTGGAGTCAACTTGAGTCAAGGCCTTGCAAACGTATGGCTTATCTATTACTATCTCAGCCGCATCCACACTAACGCATTCATCCTCGGTTGACGCATAACTGACGGTAGGATTCTTGTAAATCGTCCCCCGAGACGGAGTTTTCGAAATCTTTTCCTCGCGGAGCAAATAATCATACTGTTCGACATGTTGGGCTAATTCATACATATCCCGAACATTTGCCCCCAAGAATTTCTTTTTGTATTCGACGTCGAGGCCGTTCAAAGCAAGCCGGACGAACTCGACTTCGGGCAAGGGTACTCGGCACCAATTCCTGGCTGATTTGAACCTGGTAAGATAATCCATTGGGGACTCATCTGATGCCTGAGCCATCCTTGCTAATGAAGAAACCGACACCTCCAACCCTGGTCGGTCGATAAAACTGCTCGTGGAATTTCTCGACCAACTCCTCCCAATTTTGGATGGAATTAGGAGGGAGATTGATATACCAAGCAAATGCCGAGCCGGTCAACGAGAAGTTGAACAGCCGTAATTTATGGAAATCACTATGAACATCGCCGCATTGCGCGGTGAAACGAGCCACGTGCTCCAACGAAGACAAGGACGATTCACCGGCAAAAAGGCTAAAATCCGGAATCTTGAAACCTTTCGGATATCCGAACGTTTCTATGTAGGCCGGGTACGGATGGATAAACTTAGGAAACTTCGGCCCTTTCTTCATGGCCGAGTCGATCATCCGCTGAACCTCGGTCATATCAACAGGTGTTGCTTCGACCCTCTGGTCGATTCCGTCCGACCTACTATTTGACCCTCCGACCTTTTCCAAGTCAATTGGTTTGGGCCGAGCAGGAATTGGCTCGGCCTGTACCATTGGTAACGGATTATTTCTTGGTGGCAAGCGCTGGAGAGGATCGAAAGGCCTGCCGTCACTGAATTTACTAACCAGCATTTCGAGCAGTCTGGTTTGCTGCTCAGTGGAATTGAGTATCACGTCATGTAGCTTGTCAATACCTCGGCTAAACGTCTGCTCAACTGACCGAGACTGCTCGTCGAGTCGCTTTCGAAGAAGAAACGACCTTGTTGGTGGGTCAGATCCTTCACCGCCATCCTCGTCGCAATCCTCCACTATCCCTTCATTGAGAACACAAGTGTTCCTGTTAGGGATTTCTAGACTGCGGTGTTGACCGCCGAGATTAACTTCCCTTTCTCGGCGAGTCGCACTTGTGGACTCAGGTGTCCCGGCGCTAAGGGGATTCTGCGCCTGTGGCACACTTTGTCCTACGTTCTGAATCGGTAAATCGGCTGTTGATTTTCCCATAGCTGTTTTCTTTTTTACCGATCGCGTTTCAATTGGCATGAACTTCGTAGTTTTAGCACTGGGTCCCACTGGGCGTGCCAAAATGTTGACCCTAAAATCTACCAAGCCTACGTGGCGCGCAGGCCGAATATATTCTAAGCTAACTACGTCCTTCGGTGATTGCGGGGCGTGCCAACTCGTCGGCCGAGGCTCGGCCGAGGAGTAAATTTGATGATGCTGCGTTGGGTCGCGCTACTGACTTCTGCGTCTTGCGATTGCGGCCGAGAAAGGAACGCGTCTCGGCCTCTTGGGTTCTCGAGCCTGAAGACAAGGCTGCTATTTCTTACAAAGTTCACGAACCGAATTCGGCTTACAATGTGCCGAATGTAATAACTGTAACACCTCACCTCGCCGAGAAGGCTAATGAGATGACCTCGACCAACAAGGATTCGAAAACCCTTCTCGACCGAGACTTGGATAGGCAATCGACCGTTCTCGCCGCAGTGCTGTTGATGCCAACGGAAGATACTGCGAGACCGACCGACTCTACGGTGACAGAGCTATCTATGCCGACTTAAGATATCACCGGTTGCTTCCACAGTGCTGTTGATGCCAACGGAAGATGTGTCAGCGAAAAAGGAAAAGAAAAAGATCTCAAGTTGTGAGAGTTTGCGCAGGGCAATTTTGTATTGATTTTTGTGGTGCTTTTCCATTGCTGAATGTCTTGTATTTATAGAAGCAGAACACCGAGCCCGAGTTCTAATCCTATTCGAACTAGGTTTCCTTCTCCGGATTAACGTTACCTCAATCAGTCCTACCTCTGCTAGGACTACGAATCTAGTCCTTAACTGAGCCGGATTCGCCTTCTAGTTTTACTGATCTCGTCGAGGGTCCCTATTGTATTAGGACTCGACTTGCATTCTGATTTAACCGACCTAGGCCTAGAAGCCCATGAGCTGAAGCCCCCATGACTTTCTCGCCGTAGTCTTCCCGGGCCGAAAGTGATACCTCCCTCGGCCCAAACTGCTATTTTGGGCCCAAACAATTATACTTAAGTGTTGATTAACGTGCTTATTTTCTATTAGTGACACATCACATGATTTGCAAATGAGGTCTAAAAAGTTGATCTACTTAGCATTACTCGTTAATTTTGGTAGGACCTAAATCTTACTTTCTGCGATTCTTCCCTTCCCTTATCTACTTTAGAAAATCTTAAGTATCTCATGTTGCATTTGTGCGTATAATTTGCAATCACTCTTAGAAATTTGTCATGTGATCATGATAATGACGCCTGAAGATACTCTCTCAATAAACTCTCTCTGATTAAGCAACTCTCCGGCCACAAGAAAAAGTCAAGGTAAATCAAAATGTCCCTTTAAAAGTTAGGTTTTAGAAGTGTCGCTTATTTTCCCTCTTAGGCACTGTATATTTATAAATTATCTTTTCACATAAAAAATTATAATAAAATGAATAAGTGAGGCGAAAAAAAAAATGATAGTGCAATTGCAAACCACACGTAAAAGTTGAATTCAAGGAACTGGCTGAGACCTGAACCCATAGATATTGATCCTAAGAAGTTAAGGGGTGGGGAAAAAATTGGTTTCGTACTCGTCATTTATGAAATTCGAATCTCAAACCTCTCACTTACGAGTGAAGAACAATATCACTAGATTGTAATAAGTGGCAAGATCATGAGAAGTTAATTTAGGTTAGAACTTATTGAGAGCTTGAGGCTGTCTCCATATGAATGGAAAATGAGATGACTGATGTTTGGTCCTTCCTACAAAAACATAAAGCTAAAGAATTATAGCTGTGCACAATATAAACCAGAGGCAAAGAATTAACCATTACAACGCCGTCTGTGGGAATCGAACCCACGACCACGTGGTTAAAAGCCACGCGCTCTACCAGCTGAGCTAAGACGGCTTGGTTGTCAAGAACTCTTGTTATAAAATATTTATAAGGCTAAACAGTTAAACTCATCGGAGATTATTATAGTCCCAATTTAGGAGAAATTTTCATTATGCTCGGAACATGGGTAACAAACTAAGTGTCCTTATATAAGTGGAAGAAAGTTTTATTTTTTAAGTTGTTAATTTTTTAACACTAGTATCTCATCACTTATATATTAACACGTGGTGTACCACCCGTGTTCCAGACATACTAAAAAAACTCTCCCAATCTAGAGATAGGCCTGCTCCATATGCACGATGAAACTGAAAATGCACGACCACTATGGTTTGTTGGTTTTGGGGTTTTCATGATTCAAAATAGTAGATATCTCTCGAGTTTCCTTGTAAGCATGTTTACTTATTTGATATTGGGAAGTCTCGAATTGGAATAATACCTAATTGTATGTATAGGATATCATCGACATCCATGTTTATTTCCATATAAATATGCTTGATCTTGCACCCGTAGTAGTACCTATTAGGATCCCGAAAGACCCATCCAACACCAAATTTTCCCACTTTCATCTAGCTGCGGGTATGTTGTTTCCGTTTTTGTCTATTTTCTAATTGTTTGACACGTGTTCCATTATTAACACAGTTTAAAAATAAAAATAATAATAAAAACTAAACATAAAAAGATCACATTAGCCACATCCAACCCCACTCCCCGGTCCAGCTTTCCTTCCTTCAACAACCACCACCACCACCACCTCCTCATCCGTCTCCTCTCCTTGATCACCCATCAAACTTGAGTTTGATAATTGTGGCTTGTGGGCTTCAATTTTGATAGTTTTTTCAATCTGATTTTTCTCCTTTTTAATGCATAAGATACATGAATAACCCATCTTCCAACTTTATCGTTCTGGGGGGAGGGGTACAGGGAATATTGTATCCATTCTCGGAATAAAAAATTTGGAGCAACAAGGACACAATGTTTGAATATTCGATGACAAGTAATATGGTGTAGCCTATAGGAGAGGACTGGTGTGGTGGATTGTAACTGCGATAGGAGTTCCTGGGATGGCGGATGGAGGAGGACGGGAGCCGTGGCGGTGGCTATTGATGTTGCATAACCTATTCAATTCAACCAAATTTTAGCAACTTAATGCTATGATTTGGTAATATTCCTCTTGACTTGTAAGAGAGATGTCTTAAGTTCGATCCTTATCAAAGATGAGTTTGAACAACATTATTGCTAGCGCATTGTGAGATTAAGCTCACCCCTTCTCCCTTATAGTGTATATAATATCGTTTGTTTAAAAAATAAAAATAAAAAATCAACCAAATTTTGGATGCCAATTGCCAAGTAACGAAAAATTGCTAAATCTTCAAGCCATTTTTCTATTCCTCCTAAGCATACAAAGCACACGATCTCTTCGTTCCCAGATGCCATGCCATGAACATGTTCATATGCGAATTATGAAGGAATCCTAAAACACTAACACTGTAAAACAAATAAAATACTTGAATAATTACTGCAAATCTTCGGTTCCAACATTCCGTGATTTTGTAGATCATTTTTTTGCAACCAAATGATAAACATTTATTCGTTCCAAATCGAAATTTTAGTCTTTATCCTGCTGTTGATTAAATTTTGCTTCTAACCGAGCATCGCTTAGAGTCCTCGCCAATCGAAGGTAGTCAATCACTCTTACCCTCCTGGGATCCAATCTCTTGCAAGTAATGTTCTGCTTCCAAGGCTGCCATGCATCCTGCACCATTACAGGAATGAAAGAAATCAAGTCTCAGAGATTGCAAAAACTAAACGTCTTATAAGGCACTTAAAAACAGAGTTTGAATATACGAAGAAGACTACAGTTAACGTTCTCTGCATTCTCATTTACACGCATGAAGAAATATAAAGTTGACCAAAATTATCTAGACGAGCTTGATAACGGTGCTAGGCAAAGTCATCAACTAAATAGTTTTATGTGAAAGGTCGGCCAAATCTCAGAAAACACAACAGGCAGGCAACCATCCATCCAACTCAACTTCATGCATCCTTATGAATTTATCTGGTTGTGTAAGCAAGCTTGCTGAATTAGAGAAAAAGTTGTGCAAATGCATCATTGTATGTCCAAGCTCAATTCACCGAGCCTCAAAACAACCTTGAGTAACTTAGAAAGTCTTTGGAAATTAAAATTTGGCAAACCGTTACCTAGTGCACGTAGGTGAAGCTCAACAAGGGGCAGGATGAAATCAAGTCCCCCACATTGATAAACCTAACTTAGAAGGGTGGGTTCAGCTGAAGCTCGAAGTCAATCTATTTGTATATTTCCGACAGCTTCTTAGCTATTCAGCCTCAGGAAGCTGGCTATGAATAGAACAGCTCAAGATCCCCTACCCTATAGTAGGAGTTTAAGTCATGAAAAAAAAACTAAGTAGGACACCCCAACCACATCATATGTACAGCATCTCTCATGAAAGCATGAAATCCCCCCATAGTTTGGTCCTCTCAACCAAACACTAGTTCTACTCACTATAAGAGTTACCCTAGCAAGATAGCCCTACCAAAGTTTCTTGTCATTGTGGTAAACATCAAGCATGAGAAAAGAAAAATGAGTAAACAAATAACAGTTCAATGCAACACATATAAGATAACTGTTCGTACTACCAAATAAAAGCGAAATCTTTAGTCGTCATTTCAACCAGATAACAAAACAGATTTGTTGATGCACAAAACCGAAGGTCTTGGAACAACGTAAATCCGACCGTGAATCTGCAAGAAATGTAAATAACACAAGATGTATTGTGGTTCACCCCAAGGTTTGAGCTACGTCTACACTGATATTGTATTTCTCTATTTGTGAGGGAGAGAGCTTCTGAGAGTCAGAGCTTTAAGAGGATGAGAGGTTAGGCCTAGGAATTGGCCTTCCCTAATTGTGAGGGTGAGGGAGTGTGAGAGCTTTGCTCTAGATAGGAGAGACTTAGGGTTTGTGAGGGTGAGTAGGCCCTTTTATAGAATAAGGGCTCCTCTCCTTTTTACATATTTGCCCCTTCCTTTATTACATAATTACATTTGAGTCCTCCGAGTATTTATACGAGGTCTAAATACGGAGGCCCTAAGTATGGTATAAACAGTAGTCCCCCAAGTCTTCAGTCAAGAGAGTCTTTTGGCTGGAGACTTGAAATTCAGTCCATGTATAGGCCGAAGTAACTAGATGTTGTCTTGAACTGATGCTCGATATAAGGCGGTGCTCAATCTGAAATGATGCTCTACTAGAAGTAGCACATGCTGCGAGGCTGCTCGACTCGGGGCTTATGTTGCCTTGGTTGGCTCGGCTTGTGACGTTGAAGGTGGGGGAGTTATTTTTATAGAATAAAGGCTCGCTCCTCAATATATGAATGATGGGCTAGAGTGATGCTCGCAGTGAGGCGGTTGCTCAGCTGGTGGCGATGCTCTCTAATGAAGGTGAGTGAGTTCCTTTTATAGAATAAGGGCTCGCTCCTCAATACATGAATAATGGGTGCTCTTTAATGAAAGTGAGAGAGTCCCTTTTATAGAATAAGGGCTCGCTCCTTAATACATAAATAATGGGCTAAGTCCCCCAAGTATTTTTCATGAGGCCCAGTTGAGGACCAATATATGGTACATAATGTAGTCCCCAAGTCTTCGGTCAATAGAGTCTGTTGGCTGGAGACTTCAAATTGAATCCATGTATGGGCCGAAGTGACGGTTGTTCGGATGCGGTATTTGTATACCCTGCACTGAAGCTTTGTAGGTGAAGCTTTGCAAGTGAAGCTTTGAAGCTAGAGCTCTGTAAATGAAGCTTTCGAAGTTGGAGCTTTTGTAAATGAAGTTTTTGAAACTAGAGCACTGTAAATGAAGCTTTTGAAGCTAAAGCTCTGTAAATGAAGCTTTTGAAGCTAAAGCTCTGTAAATGAAGCTTTTGAAGCTAAAGCTCTGTAAATGAAGCTTTGAAGCTGATTGACATGAGTGATGCTCATGGATGTTGTCATGAGTGATGCTCATGGATGTTGTCATGAGCAAGAAAGAAAATATCGGTAGTCCGAAAACACGGAAATATCGGGATAATATCGATATCGATAAAAATTACATGGAAACCACGGAAATTGTAAGAAAAACTTGGAAATTTTTAATGAAACTTTGCAGGATGTTTATTTAGTCAATTATCTATTAGTTTATCACAAAAAATTGGAAGGAAATGCATTGCATGATGGATTTAACTGATTTAAGTTGATTATATAGCGAGCTGGCAAACATTGTGAGTAGAAAATATGTAGTAATTAATGAAAGAAGTTTAAACACACCATAATCATTTATATATAATTAATTAGTACAATATTGGGAGGTTTTATTTAGGATATTAAAAAAAGAAAAAGGGAAGTGAATAAAATGATGAAGAATAATGTGCCGAATTTGACACTTTAAATTTCTTACACATAAGCATGCGTCTAGGCATTGAAGTTCCAAATTATAGTTTATCAATTAACGATTGAAAATCAATACATTGAATAAGACTAAACTTTAATTTGGATGCTGATTATGTTTTTTCAAGTTTATATAAAGTAAAAGAATTGAATTTTGGAAGCCAGGAGTGTGTCAATTGTTTTATAATTCGTTCGAATATATATATCATGTTGCTACTCAACGTAATTTGAAAGTATATATAGTGCAAGGACTTGTCTTTTTTTGTTGATAAGCAAAGGGTTTGTAGCTTTTTTTGCTAAGCAGTATAACATATTATGTTTGTTTAATCTATAGCATTTGATGGTTGTCCACAAATAGAAGGCCCCAAATTAGATCTAGCTCTTACCTAGTTAGAGTCACAAGTTCACATGTACCAGCCCTTGAGGCAAAACGTTTTGGTTTTCCGGCCAAACCACGGCGAGTTGGCCGGCGTGCAAGGTATCAATCTCTTCGTCTCGTCGAGTAGTACAACTTTCATTTTTGTTTCACTCAATTTCGTTGAGTATTGAAAAAGTTATACTCATTTGAATCTTACCCAGTTTCCGGCGACCTCAGTGGCTTTCGAGGCATTTTCCGGCCAAACCACGACGAGTTAGACGTCGTGTGAGGTACCATTCTCTTCGTCTCTTCGAGGGCTACAACTTTCGTTTTTGTCTTGCTTGATTTTGTTGAGTTTTGACAAAGTTATGGCAGTTTAAAGTGGGTGTGGATTTCCGGTTGAAATTCCGATTTTCTCTCCCATTGGGTCGAGTCCCACATCGCCCACGCGAGGGCAGTGAGCAAGCAAGAAGGCCTATAAAAGCCACATTCCCAAGCTGAGAAAAGCATGTCTTGCTCGGCTTTTGGGCTATGATCAAGTGTAGTATGTGTTGAGATTTCTCAGAATTTTTAAGTATTTTTTGATATTATATAGCGATATTATCGATATATTATCGATAATATCGCGATATTTTGACGAAAACTATTTGGATAGTTAAAAAAATATCGGACCCTCAAAAAAACGATAATATCGACGAAATATCGCCGATATTATCGATTTTTTCTTCCTTGGTCATGAGTGATGCTCATGAATGATGGTCATGAATGTTTATGTATGATTGTCATGAGTGATGCTCATGAATGTTTATGTATGAACGACATGAGTGATGCTCATGTATAATTTGGAGTACTGGGCGTACTTTTGATCACCTGGTTGGTGGCATGAAGGAGAGTACAGGTTGTACATTTCATCACCTGGTTGGTGGCATGAATGGCTAGTTGCCAAATGATATTAGAGTACGGGTTGTACATTTCATCACCTGGTTGGGTGGTAATAGCAGCAGGTTGCCGAATAATTTTGGAGTACTGGGCGTACTTTTGATCACCTGGTTGGTGATAATAGAGGGCATGTCTCTTTTGGGCATATGGGTCTTCGCCCTCCACATGACATTGCAGCCCATTATGTTTTTTTTTTTTTTTTATTTTTTTATTCTTACCCTCTAATGGGATTTATACAGATGTCTTCGAAAAAAAAATTACATCATTCAGAAATAACAAAAGTAAATCACATCATTCTGGTGGAGTGTTTATTCCTCACTTTTGCTTTCTCTTTTCTGCTTTGTTCCCCACTGCTTTTCTGCTTTTCTTGATCTCTTCACCTTTGTTGCTTTTGCCTTGCTTGAACCGACGAATATGACTCATTGGTGACAGCTTGCACCTCTTTTGCTTTTGTCTTTCTCTTTTGCTTTTGTTTTTGCAGATCTCGTAGATGGCATCATTGTCAAGCAACACAGATACATTGGTGTGCTCCAGCAGAGAATGGGTTGAGAGAACGCTATTGTAAGGCTCCACCACAGATGTAGAAACTTGGGGAGAAGGGTATACCTAATCCCAGCTTGGATTTCTTTGGATTTCTTTGGTGTAGATCCATCATTGAGTTCACCAGGCTTGCAGGTCCACACATCACACCTTGTCTGCATTAAACATTCTGTGGTTCCACTTCCAGACGCACAGAGTGCAGTCGCCGGAGTTAATGGTCCATATCTTGACAATGTCGTCCTAGGAGGTGAGGAAAGATTCAAGGTAGGAGGAAGCCATGGTTGCCTTCTTGGAGTGATCCTCATAAAATTGGAGAGGACAAGTCACATAATGGTGTAATTCCCACTTGGGTCAGCATCATCTGAGAGCAGAGCCCCATACGGCGATTCTTGGAATTCCATCACAAGGTCAAGGTCCTCCATCCCCCTAAACACTGCGTGCAACCCAATCAAAACGACCCCAATCACACCTGAAACGATGACGTTGAGCCACACGTGAGTGAGGACCAAGGAAGAAAAAATCGATAATATCGGCAATATTTCGCTGATATTATCGTTTTTTTGGGGTCCGATATTTTTTTAACTATCCAAATGGTTTTCGTCAAAATATCGCGTTATTATCGATAATATCGCGATATTTTCGAAATTATCGCTATATAATATCCAAAAATACTTAAAAATGCTGAGAAATCTACACATACTACACTTGATCATAGCCCAAAGGCCGAGCAAGACATGCTTTTCTCAGCTTGGGAATGTGGCTTTTATAGGCCTTCTTGCTTGCTCACTGCCCTCGCGTGGGCGATGTGGGACTCGACCCAATGGGAGAGAAAATCGGAATTTCGGCCGGAAATCCACACCCACTTTAAACGGCCATAACTTTGTCAAAACTCAACAAAATCAAGCAAGACAAAAACGAAAGTTGTAGCCCTCGAAGAGACGAAGAGAATGGTACCTCACACGACGTCTGACTCGTCGTGGTTTTGCCGAAAAATACCTCGAAAGCCACTGAGATCGCCGGAAACTGAGTAAGATTCAAATGAGTATAACTTTTTCAATACTCAACGAAATTGAGTGAAACAAAAAGGAAAGTTGTACTATTCGACGAGACGAAGAGATTGATACCTTGCACGCCGGCCAACTCGCCGTGGTTTGGCCGGAAAACCAAAACGTTTTGCCTCAAGGGTTGGTACATGTGAACTTGTGACTCCAACTAGGTAAGAGCCAGATCTAATTTGGGGCCTTCTATCCTATATTTGTGGACAACCATCAAATGCTAAAGATTAAACAAACATGATATGTTCTACTGCTTAGCAAAAAAAGCTACGAACCCTTTGCTTATCAACAAAAAAAGACAAGTTCTTGCACTAGATATACTTTCAAATTACGTTGAGTAGCAACCTGATATATGTATTCGGACGAATTATAAAACAATTGACACACTCCTGGCTTCCAAAATTCAATTCTTTTACTTTATATAAACTTGAAAAAACATAATCGGCATCCAAATTAAAGTTTAGTCTTATTCAACGTATTGATTTTCAATCGTTAATTGATATACTATAATTTGGAACTTCAACGCCTAGACGCATGCTTATGTGTAAGAAATTTAAAGTGTCAAATTCGGCACATTATTCTTCATCATTTTATTCACTTCCCTTTTTTTTGTTTTAATATCCTAAATAAAACCTCCCAATATTGTACTAATTACTTATATATAAATGATTATGGTGTGTTTAAACTTCTTTCATTAATTATTACATATTTTCTACACTCACAATGTTTGCCAGCTCGCTATATAATCAACTTAAATCAGTTAAATCCATCATATAATGCATTTCCTTCCAATTTTTTGTGATAAACTAATAGATAATTGACTAAATAAACATCCTGCAAAGTTTCATTAAAAATTTCCAAGTTTTTCTTACAATTTCCGTGGTTTCCATGTAATTTTTATCGATATCGATATTATCCCGATATTTCCATCGATATTTCCGTTTTCGGACTACCGATATTTTCGATATTACCGATATTTTCTTCCTTGGTGAGGACCAAAGCCACCATCGTCACCAAGGCAAGAACAACCATCACGACCCGGTCTGGGATAGCAAACCCGAACACCTCGAGGGGCTAGTCACGCGAGAAGCAGAGTACGAGCCACGCGGCGAAGATGATCAAGAAGATGATGATGGAGAATGGGTGGTAGAGGAGGCTGAGGAAGAGCACGATCAGGGCGATCAGGGCGTAGTTGGACCGGGAGTGGGTCAAGTTCTGGGTGAGTCGGGTCGCAACGGGAGCAGAGGAAGGCGGAGTTGGAAGAGCAAAGGAATCTTGGTCGCAAAGCTCGCAAGCCCTGTAACTTTCTTCATTTCTCGATTTCCTTTTGAGTTGTGATTTTCTTTATGTTCTCAGTCTTTCATCTAATCTCCCCTTTACTTCTCTGGCTTCCACTCCCAGCTTCTCATCCATGTATGCTTCGTTGCAGTGGAGAAGTGGAGGTGTGGTGAGATTCATGGTTGCTAGCATACAAACAGAAACAAGAGCGCCTAGTGCTGCCATGGATGCTGCCGACACACGGTGGCTCTCTGCTCTGACGGACTCGTCTCCTCCGAGCACTTTCCACACCAGGGAGCATTCCAGCCATTAATTTCAACCTCGAAATTCCAATGACACAAACCCCAACAAAGAAAACAAGTGTGGTTTTAGAAACGGTTCAACGTCCTTCTACAGAAGACATTTGGACAAGTTGATTTTTGGGATTTTTCAGGAGCTTGCAGGTATAGGCTTTTGGGATTTTTGCAGATTCACAGTGGTGAGATGAAAAATTGAGAGAGAATCGACATAACTTTTCGTGTTGTTTCCCACAGACGGTGCCAAATGTTGATGCACAAAACCAGAGGTCTTGGAACAACGTAAATCCAACCGTGAATCTGCAAGAAATGTAAATAACACAAGATGTATCGTGGTTCACCCCAAGATTTGGGCTACGTCCACATTGATATTGTATTTCTCTGCTTGTGAGGGAGAGAGATGGAGAGAGCTTTTGAGAGTCAGAGCTTTGAGAGGATGAGGGGTTAGGCCTAAGAATTGGCCTCCCCTAATTGTGAGGGTGAGGGAGTGTAAGAGCTTTGCTCTAGATAGGAGAGGCTTAGGGTTTGTGAGGGTGAGGAGACCCTTTTATAGAATAAGGGCTCCTTCCCTTTTTACATATTTGCCCATTTCTTTATTACATAATTACATTTGAGTCCTCCGAGTATTTATACGAGGTCTAAATACGGAGACCCTAAGTATGGTATAAACAAGATTTATGCACAAAAGTCAGGTGGGAATTGAGGAACAATGTTTTATCCAAATCTGTCCACACAAAGTAACCAATACATGTGTACAAGCAGAAATCACCAAAATGCCTCAAGTCCATCATGCAAAGGGAGGAACAAATTGCATCCCGACAATTATCTAATACATTGATAGAATAAGCAAATCACAAAATGCAAGGGAAAGGAAATGTGTAATTGCCAAAATGCCTTGCAAGAAGATTACTATCTATTCGAAATTTTAAACGATCAAGTGAAATGAATGTTTGAACGTGAACGACAGTTTGGCAACACATAACATAGCCTGTAAAACATGTCAATTCGAAGTTCAACCTCTCGGTAAGTGAGCATTTCCCTAGCATGTAGTGATTGTGTCTCTGTTGGCAATTCGATCTTAACATGCAACTCAAATAGTAGGGATTCTTAATTGAAATACAAGCAACACAAAAGCTGATAAATCATAAACTAAACATCTCACAGAGAAATTTCAAATTGCATTTCAAAGTAGATATCTTTATTTAGTTAGAACTTAGAAAAGGAAGAAGAGTTACCACTTCCGGCGGCAGTGATAGCCTGCCTGTACTTCTTGTCCTGAACATCTCCGGCGGCGAAAACCCCTTTTACGCTGGTCTGCGTAGTCCCTGGCTTCGTGGCAACATACCCATCAGCATGGAGATCCAAATGCCCGTCCAAAAACTTAGTCGCCGGTTCGTGCCCAATTGCGAAAAAGAGCCCCGAAACCTTAAAATCCGATACCTCCCCAGTCACCACGTTTTTCACCTTCAGCCCCGCCAGAGGCCCTTTCCCTTCGCCGTAAGCCTCCACCACCTCCGAGTTCCACACCACCCGGATTTTCGGGTTGCTAAGCGCCCGATTCTGCATAATTTTCGAAGCCCTAAACGTGTCCCTCCGGTGAATTATGTGCACTTCTGATCCGTACTTGGTCAGAAAATTTGCCTCCTCCATCGCTGAGTCACCACCTCCAATCACCGCCAGCGGCTTGTTACGAAATATCGGGGCGGCGCCGTCGCACACCGCGCAAGCAGAAATCCCGCGGTTCCAGTACTCCTCGGAGCCAGGAAATGGAAGGCGCTTGGCGACGGCGCCAGTGGCGACGACGACGGAATCGGCCAGGACGGTCCTTTCATCGGCGAAGATCTTGAACGGAGTGGTCGAGAAGTCGACCTTGTTGACCGTTTCAGTGAACACCTCGGTGCCGAAGCGGATGGACTGCTTTCGGCACCGGTCCATGAGATCGTACCCGAGGATTCCGTCGGGAAAACCCGGGAAGTTCTCAACGTCGGTGGTGGTGGTGAGCTGGCCGCCGGGGGCGATGTCGTTGGCCATCATGCCCTCAAACAGAATCGGCTTAAGCTCCGCCCGGGCGGCGTAGATGGCGGCGGTGTGCGCCGCCGGGCCGCTGCCGATTATGCAGACCTTGGTCCTTAGGGTTTTGAGGTCGTCCATGGCAGAGGCTAGCTTCGGTGCTGTTGACGTGGAAGCGGAAGACGACGAAGGCGACGAGGAGAGACAGGCGGCTGCGGCTACTCCAACTGCGCTGCAAGCTCTTTTCAGCAGGCTCAGCACCTTCGGTGGGTTTAGGCAAAATCTCATCTCTGAAAACCGACACGTCGTATTGCGCCCCAGTCAATAGAACGGGTCAAACAAAAGAGATACGTGTTTTATTTCCACAGTACGAGTCTTCTGCCGCAAAAAACAATTTGTGACGAGAAAAATCCGTTGCTATTAATAGAGAGATTTTTCAATGTTCCCGTCACACGAAGTGGTATATCATGTGTCTTTATATAAATGATGGGTTATGTGTGTTAAAATGTTAATAACTTAAAAATTAAAATTTTTCACCACTTACATAAAAACACGTGGTGTACCATCCGTGTTCCCGTCACAACTAAAAATTTTCCCTATTAATAATTGGATATTGATGTTATTTGTGGTTTATTTATAGAACAGTGCTTTGGAGGGGAATGTGGAGACACGATTACTTGGTAAGCAAGAATTGAGCGTCTTGTGAACAGGGCAAGTAACCTTGTTCTTTGCTTTGCTACTTCACCAATACACAAGGGATATTTTTGGGCCCATTTGGTTACAAGTGAGTGTTCAATACTCCAACTTATTGTTATTCTAACAGGTTCATAGGGTCTAAATCGGCCTGAAATTGCGAGTTTAATTCTCATAAATTGGAATGATACACAAACGATGGGCGAGAAAAATTGAGTCACTTTAGAGTGAGTTCAATTGTAGAATGAAATGTATGAGTATCGTGAGTTTGAAATATACAAAATTATCGCTCTCAGACTTTTAAAATCACACTATTGCATCTGTAGTATTGTCCTAAACCACAGGGCTTCATTCTTCGTTCTAATTTCACTTGTCATAGAGAACTATAGGCTTATGTTTTTGGTTCACGGAGAAACTAAAAGCTTCACTAAGCTATCAATTACCATTTTTTGGGCCGAAAATTCAGGCTTTATTAGTGACAATGTTATAATTAAAGCCCAAATGAAATTATTTTGGGCCTCTGGGGACTGGAGTCCAATTCACAGATAACCCAGGCCTCTTTATCATTTTAAAACAAAAAAAAGTGGTCAATTAGTGGGTTATTCAACATCAATTAGTGTTGTTAATATTAGACTTTTGCTTTAATCCTCGATTTAAACAATTAGATGGTGGGCGGTGGGCACCCTTTTTCAAATATTAATTTCAACAAAGAAATTTCCTTTTCCTTTGTTTTTGCCCTTTTGTTTTTATGTTTTTTACGTCAGCAAAATACATATAATATAAAAACATGTTAGGTGTTAATTGAATCTGCATTCAACCTACTATGAACCTTCCCAAAAGGTTGCCACCCACCACAGAATCTCACTACCAAATTAATCCTCAATAGTGATGGTATTTCTTCGACACGAACACAATTAGAGTCAGCCAGAACACGATACAAAATCAATATAAAAACAAAAAATAAAAATCTTCTAATTTTGATATTAATTTACCAAGCTTTTTACACAAAATTCATGTCACCTCCAAAAAAAACCAAAGCTCCTGACCAAGATCAGATGTACAGAGAGACCGAGGAAAAACAAAAGCAAGTTTCCGGCGCAAGCAAATAATAATTTACATAAAAATATATATATTTGTTGTAGCACAAAGCATAACATAAAAAAATAATAAAAACTAGGGGTTTTGATCAACAGAAACAGAAGACCTTTTGATGAACTCCAAACAGTCAGCAATGGCTTCTGCATAGAAAGAATTGGACCGTCCATATGATCTCAGTCTGCAGCAATCAGCTGATCCCGACCGTCCCTTGTTTTGTTTCATCTCTTTAGTGACCAAACTCCTTCTGCTGCTGCTGCTGCTGTTCCTCTTGATACTACTAGGGCCATAATTAGTACCGGGACTACTAGTCCCAGGACTGTTTCTTCCCATACTTTTCTTTAGACACTGCAGAGCTTGCCCATATGAACACCTTAAGAATTTGAACAAACACACGAACCGGGCACGTAGGAGCCTGGAGACGGAAAATCTTCTAGGGTTTAGCCGGAATCCTCTGTTTGGTCTGCTATTTCCGACTCTGTTGTAGCTCATGTGTCCCATGTTTGTCATTTGGTTTTGGGTTGGGGAGGGGTTTGTGAAGTTTTTTCAGAAGCAATGTGAAATATGTTTTGTGGTGTGGGGGTATATGTAAATAAGGTTGAAGGACGACTTTTTGGATGGTGAGGGTGATGATTTAGGAGGAGGGGTTTGGTTTGGAGGGAAGGGGCTTGGAAATGTCTATGGAGTGTCTTAGACTTTTGGAAGGCACTGTCAAGTGGGTGGACTGTGGAATCACATCTTATTAAATACATAAAATGACACGACTTGACTTCATACGCGACAAAGAGATGACAAACAAGCTGTAACTATTTAAAAGATTTTAGACATCTGATTTGGTATGTCGGATTGAATTAGAATGAATAGCTCGTTATATTCAAAATATAGTTAAGTTTAAGGTGAATAGCTTTTTCTTTTGAGATGAATAGCTCGTGGATTATATACATTTGTTTAAGAGAAAGCTTAGTTTTGAATAATTGATATGAATGGAGGCCATAAGGGGGACAAAAGAAAGAGGAAACCCAAGTGTCCCTTTTCAAATTAGGTGAGTAAAGTAGCCAAATTATTAGACAAAGTTGATTCGATTCAGTGATCCGTGGGGACAAAGCCCTCGCAAACTGGTAATCTAATATAATCCTACGTTTTAAGGTGGTCTAAATTCTAACAATGTTTGACTTGTGAATTGGCTTTTTTGGTAGAGTGGTTAACTTTTTTATTAGGGTTTTGATAAATAATTAAGAGTAATAATATCTTTCAAGGATACATTAGGGTTTTGATAGACTTATGAATTGGCTTCTTTGGTAGAGTGGTTAACTTTTTGATAAGGGTTTTGATAAATAAGAGTAATAATATCTTTCAAGGATACGTTAGGGTCATGATAGATGTATGAATTGGTTTTTTTTGGTAGAGTGATTAACTTTTTTACTAGGGTTTTAATAAATAAATAAGAGTAATAATATCTTCCAAGGATACATTAGGGTTTTGATAGACTTACGAACTTGCTTTTTTGGTAGAGTGATTAACTTTTTAATTAGGGTTTTGATAAATAAGAGTAATAATATCTTTTAAGGATACATTAGGGTTTCGATAGACTTATGAATTGGCTTTTTTGGTAGAGTGGTTCACTTTTTAATAGGGTTTTGATAAATAATAGTAACAGTATCTTTCAATTTTCAAACACATTAAAAAAAATAGTCACTAGCTAGGCTATATTAATTGTTAATCTCAGTTCTAGCATATTAAAATTGTTATTTATTTTATTAAATATTTTATAAATATTGGGAGAACTTTATTAAATCCATCCAAACAAATCTATCATAGACAAAACCAAGGAAAATTACAAACCGATAAATCAGTAGATGAGTGAAAGGTGAAAAGATGTGACAAAATAAATGACATTTTCCTTGTTGGTTATCAACTTTCTCAAAGTTTTTTGCAGGTGCTACTATGTCATGCAGCTAGCGCTGAAAGCGATTAAATATGGTTAAGGCCGTTGTTGTTATGGTAGGAAGAAGAGTGCAGGGGATGGCCAACTCCGGCCACCTATGCAAAACTCACGCTAGCATAAATGATTCGTGGGGAGATATTTTGCTTAATTTGTCAAACGTACGCATTCGGAGGTGGCACCCTCTCCCTTTCTTTCCCTAGCTCTTCCTCCCTTCCTCTTTCCCCTTCTTCCCCACCCCTCGCCAATTTCGATTTTTCCCCTCCTCCTCACGCCGCCCCTTCCTTGTGTCGCCCCCTTCCCCAACGTTTCATTCCCTCTTCCTCCCCGTGTCCTCCCTCCCCCGCGCCTCTGTTCTTTCCATTTCTTTTCTCTCATTCACTGTGCCAACCCTCCCCCTCCATTTTTTCTAGCTTGCTCCATCCTTGTTCTTCTCCCCATCTTTTGCACAGGTGTCCCGTGATTTCGGGTCTCTTTCCCATATCCGGGTTTTGGCCTTTTCAAGTTATTCTTTTGATTTGGGTCTGATTCGAAGCTTGGGTTTGGATTGAGGTCGTTTGGTAGGTCGAAGCCACTCCTTTGCCAGTGCTATGATGTTTCCTCCTCTTGATTTGGACACACCACCTCCTGCGCCACCCTCTGTTTGCTTCGTCTGGGTCGTGCTTTTGCTAGGGTTGCATCACTTGGGCTTTTCCAAATCTGGCTTCTCGTTGTGCAGCCAACTGCCTTGGTTCGACTTGCTGATGAGGCTATCCAAATTTGTGCAGTGGTCTTTATCATGAGTGGCACATCCTTCTATTGGAAGGTGTGCTGCCTTGTGGCTTCATTCTCGGAATATTTTGTTAACTACTGAGGTGTACAACGGACCCCTTTCTGGTGTTGTCTCGTTGTCCACTCGCCTTTGTGCACCGTGGTGTCTCTGTTTTTTTTGGTCAAATTGGTCCTTGCCTTTGTGCGATGCGTTTTGGTAGTCTCATTTGCTAACAAAACGATGACTTGATGTGATCTCGCTTTTTCGCGATGATTTTTTGTGGCCTTACTTTTCAGTGATGTCCGTTGTGGCTGTCTCTATTTCTCTGTTGCTGCTATAGTTTATTGTAACATATTTGTACTGGTAGCTCTTGTGCGCTTGGCGGTTGTATGTTAGCTCTTGTGGTTGTCGTTTAGGGGTTTCCTCTTATTTGTCTATTTGTGTAATTCACTTCAAATCAATTTATTGGTCACTGAAGCTATGTACCCAATGACACCCTTGGAATGGTTCATGTTGATTAATGAAATACACTATTGTTTCCTGTCCAAAAAAAAAAAAAGAGAAGAGCATCTCACCAATCTTGTGTGTTCGATGCAAGGTTCTAAAGACCTAGGGCTTAAGTGGCTAGGCAGAGACCTAAGTGGATTAGGCGAATTTAAGTAAATTTATTATATATCGTATAAATAAGTGCATATTTATATTTGAAAATATATATATACTTGTATTGGAATAATAAAATGAAAAATAAAATGACATATAGGTTATAAAGTATCAGAACATATTGAAAATATAGGGAACACCAATCTTCATCCAAGTATTCAA